GAGGTCCTGATTGGCAGAAGCGTAGTTTATAAGATATGCATCGGTCGAAATGCCTATTCTCAATAAAGCTTCGATTGGCAGGACTTTATTTCCATCCCTGGCGTAGAAGACCTCGAAATGTGGACGCCAGTGATCAGACGTGAAGTGGAGAAAGATCAAATGCGCAAAGAATTCACCACGTTCTGTGGCACAAATGAGAACAATAGAAGCAAAACAAAATTCTTATGGTGTACCGGATGGAGGCGGTGGTGGTGGAGGCGGCAGCCCCATGCCTGGAGGCGGTGGCGGTGGTGGAGGGGGTAGGGGCACACCTCCGGGACCACGCTTATTCGGCTGGGCTGCTGGTTCATCCTCCTCCTCCTCCGAGTCCGTCAGGTCAGAAAAGTCACGGTCTTTCACATGAAGGGAAGTCTTGGCTACATGCGCCTCTCGTTCCATCCAAAACTTGTCACTTTCGCGCAGTGGCTTTGGAGGTTCTGGTTCTGGCAGTGGTGGTTCCTAACCGGATTAAGCGAGAGATAGAAACATGAATTATTGCCCTTTCTAGCCGTACTTTGCATCATATCTTTAAAATGATATGTGGTTTAGTTTTGTTTGAACGGGGCGCATTGCTAAACTTTGCCCGCAGAAATACCACAAATGAGAAAATACATCTCTTAAGTTCTACGTATAAGCGAAGGTGCCCTTGCCAGGTGTTGTGGGCGAGCTAGTGTGGATACAGCTCACATGTTAGTCACTACAATATACCCCTATATTAGATGCAAATGGCCCATTTCACGTACCTGTTTATTACATGCATGACGACTGTAGATTGTGACAACGTCGACCAAAGAAATAATGACTTTATTACTCGCAGTCTGAGACACCGAATAATACTCAATTCAGGAGGTGTTTACAATAATGCGCAATGTATCGCAATGGTCTCGCGTCAAGACCACCAGACGCAGCAACTAAAATACTCTGATAAGAAGAGCTAAACGAGTTTTGGAACGTCAGTTCGAATATAATTTGGTCAACGAACCCGCCATCTCTTCTTCTTTGGGAGATGATGAACGCGATACTACATCTGGATCCAGAGTCTTTGCGCATAGTAATATATAAATTCGTCTAGATTTAAGTGTTTTTACCGTGTCTAGAAGCACCACTGCACCGGGCTCCAAGGAATCTCTATGAGAAGGCATTCCGTTAGAAGTCCGTCCCACCCCAGACAACCGACAGGTAAGCGGTGGGGTAGAGAGTGAGGTCAACCGTCGGGACACTTTTTCCTCACTATAATCAACCTGCTGCGATTGAAACTATCGCGGTGCAATAAAAGCCGTGGCTTGGAGGCTTGCCAACAGACGGGATAACTTGGACTTCGCAGTCAGCCTAGTGTGTGTCTTGTTGTGTGTAGTGGCTTACTGCGG